TGTGATTTTGGTTCTTGGACAATTCTGTCTTGGTTTCATGACTACTGTTGAATTCAAGACAAGCTGCTAACATAGCTACATGAACTCTTGAAAGTTTTAAGCCAAAGGGTGACGAAGAAGAAGAGGAAGAAGAGGAGGAAGAAGAAGAACACTTTCAAGAATATATTGAACCAACCAACTAAAAGAGTAAACAAGATCCCACAAAATTAATGGAGTAAATCCAAGCATTACAGGATTATAAAAGGAAAACTCACCTTAGAAGTTCGATTGTCTAACATGGAAAGTGAATCTGAATCAGAGGAGGAGCCAGGCAGGAACTCAAAATGGTAGGCAGACTTGTACAAAACGATGCAAGAAACAGCAAGAACTCCCAGAAACAAAACTGTGATTCTTACAATCGGCTTGTGGATGACCGCAGAGGAACTATGCAATGTTCCATTGACCATGCCGTCACCACCAGTACCAGTCATTTTGCCTGCTGCTGTTGATGATGAATTGTTGCCTTGTAATTCCTTGTTTTCTCCAAACTAGAACTGGTCTCTCCTATGTAAACGTAGCTTCTCTGCAGGTCAACCTTGTTGCCCTCTCAATCTCTCTCTACTGCCTTGTTTGATTATATATATATTTGGTTTAGTACTTGGTTAATTTCTTACCTGTTCTTGATCGATCCAGCCTAGCTATCTGTTGAATATTCCTTGTTGGGATTGAGGAGATGAAACAGTAGGGCAGTATCATAGTCGCTGGAGTACTCGTATAATTGACGTGACTACCCATTTAATTATGGACCCTGCTAATAAAGATATAGAGACGAAAAGCAACTTGCCGAAGTATTTCATCACCCGCAACGCAACACTTCGAGGCTTTCCCCTGCGCTCAATGCCGGCTTAGCTTTTTTTAATATAATAAAAATATTCAACCATTATTAATACATTTTATAATAAGAAAAAATAATCATCAATTCAAAATACTATATATATAGAACGGGATTTATTTTAAATGTTGATACGGTGGTATATTAGATTATATTTATTTTTAAATATTAAAATGATTTTATATTGAATTAATAATTAATGTGTGAAAGCTAGCTAGTTAGAAATTACCCTAAACATATAAGGAAAAATGAAGTTTGGCGCCTATTGTTTTGGACTCGGAAAAATTAATACTTGGACCCTAACTTTATGATAACTTTTTTGAAAGGTCTAAAAATTAATTTAAAAAAAAATATATATGTGACTGAGTTTATCACTCACGATGTCTCGACGCAACATTTTTTATTTAATAAAAAGGTATATTTTACTCTTTATACCCTTTAACAAATTAAACTTAGACTTTTCGCTAATAAAAAAATATTACTTTATGCTCGAGAATCATTTTGAAACGAGATTTTTAAAAAGTTAAATTAAATTTTTCATCTTTATGTGGCCCTCAAAAATGGTTTTTCCAGTAAAAGTAAAGTTTTGATTAGAAAAATCATTGATTATAGTATAAAGTGATGATATTTTTATTATGAAATATCTCATAAAGTATTATTTATTTTAATTATATTTTTTTTTGGTTTTTTTCATATTTTTCTCTTTGTTTTTTTTCTTTTTTAAATTGATATTTTTTTTTAATTTATTGTAGTTTGTTTTATATATAGTTAGTTCGGTTTCATAACTCGTTTCATTGGTTTAATGAATTAACTCGGTTAATATGAGGTTTTTTTTATTTTTTTAATTGATATTTTTTTAATTTCATCCTTTAACATTAAATTAATTGAAAATTAGTTTAGTTTATTTTTTATAAGGTTATCATAATCTCATAACTCAAGTTACAGGTTTGGTCGATTAACCCAATTAACTAGAGTTTTTTGTTTTGTTTTTTTAATTAGTATTTTTTCAATTTCATTTTTTAGCATTAAATTGATTATAAATTGAATTTCATGATTTATTTTGGTTTTATTTCTACAAGATTTTTATAATTTTATGACTGAAGTTACATGTTTTTCAGGTTAACCAGGGTAAACTCAAATCATTTTAATATGTTTTATTTGTAGATTGAATTATTTTTTTTCAATTTCAACCTTCAACAATGAATTAATTAAAAGTTGGGTTTTATAATTTATTTTAATTTTTTTTTTAAGGTTATCATAGTTTCATGATTTACTTCACAAATAATATGGTGTAATGCAAAGCAATAATCTAGCATAAAATAATTGAGGAGGGGAATTCATTATTCCTCTCCTCACAAAACATTTTTCATTTGAACAATACTTTGTTTTTTGTTTATTTTTTTAAGATTTAACTTTTTTTGTCTTCTTCTGAATCTTATAATTCAACATTAAGTTTGATTATTTGGTTTCATTACTCGAGTCATGAATTTAGAGAGTTAACTTGGGTTTTTCATATTTTTATTTTATTTTTTTTCAATTTCATTCTTCAACATTTGATTAATTTAGAATTAGATTATATAATTTTTTTTTTCGTTTTCTATAACATTATCTTGGTTTCATTACCTAAATCACGGGTTTAATGAGTTAACCAGGGTTAATTTGAATTATTTTTTTCATCCAACAACATTATATTTGTTTATCCCGGATTACGAGTTAAATCGGGGTCTTTTTTTTTTCTTTTAGTTGAATATTTTTTTTTTAATTTTATATTTTAATATTTAATTGATTTGAAATTAGGTTTTATATTTTTTGTTTTCTTTAAGATTATCTTAATTATATTACTTAAATTACAAGTTTGATAGATTAACTCAAAATAAAATTTTTTTTTATCTTTTCTCAAACAATATTAAAAATTAAAAACATCTCGATAAAACTTTTCATGTCAATTTAAAGCCATTTACAGTTAATTTGATTTTTTGGGTTCTGAAACATGGACAGTCAATCTCTTTCATGTTTTCTATTGTTTCTAGTGACTTTCTCTCCCCTATATCAAATCCATAGACTTAAATGTAAAAGAAATAAAGTCTTGGATTAAAAGGTATAATTACCAAACTAAAGGGACTAAATTGAAGTTGAAAAAAATTCCAAGACTTTTGTTTTTTTCAAGGAAAGGTGCTGACATCACAACGTTTTTCTTGTTTTGTTTTTAAGAGATTTGCATGTCTCTTCCATTGTCAAGCTAGAAAAAAAGGGAACTTTTACAGTTTGAGGTCTCTTGTACAATGAATACCAAAAATTCAAAACTCATGATCATCAAACAATTGATTTTTGCTATCTATCTTCTTCTTCTTCTTAGCCGCCATGGCCTCCTGCCTACTAGAAAAGTCGAGAAATTGAAAATGTAAATAAACCAAAAGAAAAGAAAAGAAGTAGGGTGAATTTTATCACGCATCCTTGAATTGTTCTTCCTAGTTTACTAGTTAATTTCAATTTATTTTTTCTATATAGATTAGGTAGGTTTGATGATTGCTACTTAAACATTTTTATATATTATTTTTAAGAGTTTTATGAATTTTTAAATTCAAAATAAATTAAATAGATTTTCTCTATAATTTAGAAATATCACCAAGAAACTTTGATTCCATAATTTCTTTGTTGATTTCAACAAATAAAATAAATAAAGAATCCTCTCCCTAAAATAAATAAAACTTTGATTACATAATTTCTTGCAAGTTTCTTTTTGAACCCTCACGAGGGATATGTCAAACCACTTTAATTTTCTATAAATATTAATTTTATTTACTTACCATTGTAAACTATTTTTATTTTTTTCTAATATTTTTATTTACATCATAAAACTTATTTTACTTAAAAAATAAAGACTAAAAAGTTTTTTTTCTAATCTTTTATTTATTTATGCTATTTTTTATTTTTTTCAAGCTAACTTTTTATTTGATTTAAAAAACAAAGATAAAACTTAGAAAATAAATAAATTTAATGTAAAAGGTAGAAAAGCTCAAACATATGAGATCACATAATTCATGAAAAAATACACACGTTTATCAGTACATCATTCACCTTATCTTTTATTGAATATTATTAGACCAACTTTTGATTTACAAGACTCAAATCATTATTACAGGATTAACCAATCAATTAGAGATAATGAGAATAAATAAACTAAATAAATTTTTTGTTTTTAACTTCTTGAGAAAAAAAATTGCTGGCGAGAATAAAAAAAATCAAAAACAATTCTAGTGGTGTATAAATGAAAATTTTGCAAACACTTATAGTAATTTTTAATCAAACTTCTTCTCATAAAAATTGTAACCGATGTGAAAAAATTGACTTCATTTATAAATAAAAAAAACTATTATATCATGTAGCGGTGTTTAAAGGTATCATCTCACTTTTAATATTTATATTATTTAACCCAACTCAACTAATCAAAATCAAATAATATAAATATAACATGTAATAACAAGTTAAAAAAATATAAGAAATAGATATCATAAATCTAGTGACATGTTAGAATATTTATAATCCAATCCAATATGTATAGACTATATTTATTTTATTTTTATATTTAGTAGTTTGTAGATTAGACAATTAATTTTATTTTATTTAAAAATATTTTAACTCTAAAATTTTTAAAATTCTCATTAGTGAACGTATGAGTGTTTAATAGGTCGTGGTAAACTCCATCAATAGTTATGATGGTGTAGAAAGGCGACTTCTCTCTTTGACTTCTCTCCCAAGGTAGCAAAATTTGCAGCATAAACCACACATCATGGCATGACAATAAACTAGACTTTCTTCTTTGCATATTCAATATTTTGTTCTTTCTAGAAAGAATTAGGATTTGATTATATTACATTTCATTTTGCTTTATTTTCTCATGCTTCTTGATTTTCTTAGTAATTATAGATTAATTTCGACTAATTAAAATTTTATAAAATTAAAAAATTAAAATAATATTATTTTGATAAAAATTAAAGTTAACGAATTAAAGATTATATCATATATTAACATGATTTTTAATTAAATTATGTACAATTCAAACATTAAATTTTAAATCAATATGAGTGATCAGAAATACAACACACAAGACACCTTCAAATAAATTAACAAAGAACAAAGTCTTTTATTTTATTAGTTACGATGCATGTAAAGTTTTTTTTTTTACTTTGTGAGTAATTTGCCCTCTTTATTGGTACTACTTGCATTAACTTAACTCATGTGAGATAGCTATACAATGTGCTCCCGATGAAATATACTATAAAAAGGCAAGCGATCATGTATAACAACCATCTCCGGCTACTTTGTCTGCTGCTTTCTGGTTGTGCAAGGTCCTTTTGCCCTACGCTTTCTTCGCCATTCCTGCAAACAAAAAGCCCCTCCTTGGTTAAATGTAGCCTAGTCTGATTCCAAGAATTAATCATAAACATTATTGCAGAGGTTAATGGATAGAATGAGAGAGTTCATTGTCTTCACCTTTGGCTTTGAGGCTGCTGGGGTTGTGTCCTTCTGTCAGCAGTCAAAAAGATCAAAATTTGAATTAGCTTGTAGTGACGAAGATAATATGATTAATTGTGGTTAAATTAATGTGGGGCTAAAAGACATGCCTTTGTGTTAGGTGAGTTTTAGGCATTAGGAATGGGGCCTCCTCTACTTTGGGTGTGGCTTCCTGGGTTGGAAGTGAATGCTGAGATTCAAGTACAGCAGTTGGTGAAGTCTGTGTGGATGATGCAAATTCTGGGATTGGAACATTCTTTGCCTGTCACAAATAGGAGTAGATTCTTCATTAGTCAGGTCTTATTGCCTTGGACTTGAGTTGCTTCATAATACTAACTGTCCACAATAACCCACCAAATTGTTGAATTGGAGATTGTAAAAGGCTTCGATATATCTTTGCTTCGCAAGCTTCTGTTCCTTGTTCGTCTGCCTCCAAAATCCATAAACAGATCCCATGTTCAACACTTTGTTTGCATAAATCTTCCATGTATAGCTGCAGGACAACATATATGATTAGTTACTGATGGAAAAGTTTATATCTGATGAATTTGGTAGGTTTGCGCATTCACCATTCATAGATGCGTTGGAGACCAGCTGCTGACATCTTGTTCCAATATTCAGCATCTGTCTTGCACTTCTCGAAGAAATCAGCTATCTTATTGCCAGACTCGTCTCCGTTGTTGGGATCGATGTGGAATCCTGAGATCCCATCGACAATAATTTCCGCTGGGCCACCTTGATTGGTGGCAAAGGTAGGCAATCCACAGTTCATTGCCTCAATAACTGTCAGGCCAAAAGCCTCATAAAGTGCTGGCTGAACAAAAGCTCCCTTTGTATCTGCAATGCAGCGGTAGAGCTCCCCGTTTCGGTATCTGTCAGTTTGAGCTGCTATCCATCTGAACTGGCCCTTAAGCTGGTATTTCTCTATCAAGGCATGCATCTTCTTGATCTCCGCAATTTCTTCTCTATCATTTGATTTGGATGGATCAAAGAATCCTGCTACAACAACGAGATTCACCAAGTTTCTTAGCTTTGTATTCTTCCCGAACCACTCTGTCAGCCCCGTAATGTTTTTCACTGTATCCAGTCTTGCCATGGAGAAGATAATTGGTTTCTTCCTGTCAGCTAGATATCCACTGCTCCAGGCTTGTTTAAATTAGTTTCAGCACATAAAAATGACTACAGGCCTTCTTTTTCTAATTATATTGTGCAAATGAAATGACGAAATCTTTAGAAGCTTGCCAAGAAAAAAGTAGGGAACTTCATAGACCTACATATGCTCATGGTTATCCTCGTTGCGATAGAGCAGTTCTTCAATGGCAGGATGAAAAGAGGTTAGCCGCTTCTGTTTCTCGGTGTAGGGGAAGTAGACAGATTGGTCAGCCCCAGGGGAAGCAATGTTGAACTTTGGGTCAAAGACATTGATGCCTGACACAACACGGCAAAGTCCTGGCATGGTAAACGCCGTATGGCTTTCATACTGCCCTGGCCTGTCCTCACTGAAATTGATGCAAGATCTTGAGTTGGCAATACAAATTATATTGGTCAGTAGGTCTGCATATAACTAATGATGGTAGGTAGAAGACAAACCTTCCTGCAATTTCCTGGTATGTACTGGTTATGATAAAATCAGCAGTATTCATCGCGATCATGTCTGCTGTGAATTGACAGGAAAAGTGGTACTTGGCATCCAATTCCTTCCATTTGGCATCAGAATCTTCGTACTTAGTTTTCTCCAAAGCATGAGCAATAGTCCCCTGGATTTACAGCAGGCCAAATTTCAGAATAGAATTAAATGGTAGATTAGTCTGAGTTCTTTATTTGAAATATGAGAGATTCAATAGATAGAGATCAGCTTAAACCAGAGTTATGCCGAGTTTCCGAGCCATTAGAGATGCCACCAAGTTCCCATCACTATAGTTCCCAATGAGGAGATCAGGTTTACTGTCCATGTGTTCAAGGACCTTGTCAGCAGCATCCTAGTGATTGGTGATGAGCCCGAGAGACATGAAAATCATTGCAATCAGTATGTGTTCAATAAAGAACTAACTGAAAATAGAAGTTAGAAAGCAATGGAGGCGCATGCCTGAGCAAATCTCTCAAGGTAAGGGTACACTTCAAAACGCGAAACCCACTGAGGGAGAACCCCCTTCTCTGTCTTGAAGGGGACCCTAACAATGTGGGAGTGCTTTGTACCGAAAATAGGCTCTACCTCCTGGTTGCACTTTGTCCCTCCAGCATTTGGTATAAGTCGGGTTACCTGTATGCATATAAATAATACAGAGAAGTATCAAAGAATCATTCAGAATCCAACCCTTCACTTGAGTGCAAAAGATAAACCTGGGAAATATTCATATATCTGTCTCACCACAAGAATTCGAGGCTTCACACCAAGGCCTTGATGCTTTATCTTAAGTAGGAGTTCTTCCTCTAAGGCTCTTACTTGATCAAGAATGTAAACAACCTGTGTGCCACATATAAGCAGCAATTATAATCGATTATGAAAATTATGATCGCCCCATAATTAGTAGCGTGTAGGATTGTCTTACACACCTGCCCACCAGTATCTGGCAATCCCAGAACATCTGACTGGCCAAAGTAGCCGTGTGGAGAGAAGATGACAATGTTGAACATGTTAGGAATCCTGCTAAAGAGCAATTGCAGTTTCATTGCGTCTGGAGCTTGAAGTGATTCAGAAAGCAACCTCATTGTCTCTTTTACTCTTTCTGCAGTGTCTCCCCATCCCGTCTCAAAGCCCAACTCTCTCAGTCTGAACATTAATTCACAACAAGGAAATGAAGTTTTCATGGGATGATATCCTTTTATAGAGAGAGAAAAGTGTACAAAGAAATAAAGAAGTAGATATATGACCTCTGCTGGAAATCCTGATGCGGGGTGTCTTTCGGAAATGCAGACACAACCACTTCAGCTACAATCAATGCTTCTTGAAGCTTGGCAACTGTGTCTAGAGTTTGATTGATCATAAGATTCTGCATATTACAACATGAGAAGCATTACAATTGATTCAAGCACTGGTTCTTCTAAGACTAAGACTGGTATATCATTTTTATCATCTTTTGGTAATGTTAGGACAACTACCTCTCCTTGATGGTTGAGCGCTGACAAGTAGTCGAGCAGAGGTTTTGCAGCTTCAGAGCTCCCACTGAGCTTCAATGACATGAACTTTGACATGTAGTTGACTCCGTTCCCAATAGAAGAAGAAAGAGTTAGGCGAGGGGTAGAGAAATCCATAGCTCCAAAATCCACTTCCAAAGCATTTTCGTTGTTCGCCCTGCACATTAATGTAGCAGTCACTAGAAGGAAAAGCCAGTTCCAAGATCATTCAAGAGATTTTCACTCGGACTTGTGCATACCATTTTTCATCTAAGATCATCTCCTTAAACCGCAAATATTCTGAAACGGAGATACCATCTACGCTCAAATCTTCAGCATTCACCTTAACATATTCCCAGAAACCGGGATTCGGTCTTACAGCAAATGCAACAAAAGGTGGAATAACAGCTGCCTCCTGCAAGATGCCACGATGAAAAAGAAACAGTAGTAAGTCCACAGGAAGCAGGCAGGCGAAGATGGAGAAGTAGAATAGCAGAGAGATCAATCAATAACATATTATACCTGAGTGGAAATTAGGATGTAACCAAGGAAGCCTCCCAAGACCTTTTGCCTTTCATTCGTATCTTGTATTGATTCATGAACTTCATCCATTATATGTTGGCGTTTCATCAGCCTTTTCCCAGGTGCAAGAAACCTGTTTTATTTTTTCATTTTTTTCCACCGTCCCGGCGGGGAGAAATAAGAGGATATACGTTAATTCCTCTAACGAGGAAGCATGCAATGAACTTCATCAGACAAAAATTGAAGCAATCATATACCTGGAAAAACATTTCTTCATGTGATACCGGCTCTGCCTTAAAGCATCAGGCATGCTTTCTGCAATTGTTTCGGATCGCTTAAGAACTGGTCGAGAAGCCATTTCAGCAGGAAAACAAACGATGA